GGTGGAGGGGGAGGTGAGACTGTGGTTTTACAGGGAAATTGATATTCATTAAAGGAGACGTGCCGAGAGATATAAAGTTTCTTGGTGTGGAGATCGAAGCAGCGAAACCCCTTGTGAGAAGTAGAGTATCCGAGAAAGAGACAAGGATGAGATCGTGGTTCGAATTTGTTTGAGGTGTGAGGCTTTAACCACGGAAAACAAAGACAGCCAAAGAATCTCAGATGATTGTATGAGGGAGGTTTGTCGTGAAGAAGCTGATAGGGAATTTTCCCGTTGAGCGATGAGGTGGGAAGTCGGTTAATGAGGTAGTTGGAGGTTTGTAATGCCTCGGCCCAGAATGTCGACGGCATATAGGAAGCGTGAAGCAGTGTTCGGGTAGTCTCTAGGAGGTGGCGATGTTTCCTTTCGGAGACACCATTTTGTTCGGGTGTATATGGACAACTGAATTCATGATGAATGCCATGGTTGAGAAGGAATGTTCGAAGGTCGTGATCGGTGTACTCGCCACCACCATCTGAGCGTAGAGTTTTAATTGAGGTGTTAAACTGATTGCGAATTAAGCTATAAAACTGTTGAAATTTAATTTTGGTTTCGTTTTTGGTGTGCATGAGATATAGCCAGCAGAAATGAGTTGAATCATCAATAAAAATTATAAAATAGTGGAAACCAAAGAGAGAGGGAATAGGCGATGGTCCCCAAACATCTGTATGTATTAGATTGAAGGGAGTAGTTACATTGGGTACATGTTTAGAGAAAGGTAACTTGTGGCTTTTAGCCACTTTACAAGAAGTGCAAAAGAAATCTAAACTCTTAGCGCTAAACTTAGGTAGTAGACTAGATAGATGTGCCATCGAACGGGAATGAGGATGGCCCAGACGAGCATGCCAAAGTGCTGTGGAGTCCCGGGTGGCTGAGAGAGCTTGAGCAGGAGCTGAGAAGGAAAGCTGGATGAGGTAGATCCCGTCGCGATTACGACCATGGAGAAGAGTTTTGTTGTCCTAAAGATCCTTAAGTGTAAAGCCAGTAGAATCGAATAAGATAGAGCAATTATTGTCTTGTGTTAGCTTGGAAATGGATAGTAAGTTATGAGCTAGAGAAGGAACGTGAAGGAGGTTGTGAAGTTTGAGCTTACGGGATGAGTCTGGAAGAGGTAAGAGACCGGCACCTGTGTGGTGGATGGGAAGGGAAGAACCACTTGCTGTATAGATAGTGTCTTGTCCATTGTATGGAGTTGAATGTTGCAGGTTGGTAAGGTCCGGTGTCAAATGTGTCGATGCACCTGAGTCTAGCACCCAGTCAGTTGTGATAGCCGTAGGCGTCTGAGCAAGAAGGGCTCGATTGTTTGTTGGAGGAGCGGTGTAGTTTGATTTAAATCTGTGCCAGCAAACGGATGCTAGGTGGCCAGTTTTTCCGCAAATTTGACAGGTCGGTCGTTCGGAGGATCTGGGTGTGGTAGCAGCGGGTCTAGGTGAAGAATTGCTGGGACTGAAGGGAGCTCCTCTGCCCCTGTTTCCTCTGTAGTTTGAGCTGCGGCCTCTTCCTCATGAGGCAAACAGAGCCTGCGGTTCTGTAGTAGGTGTGAGTTCTTGTTGAAGTTCATTTTGAAGATTTATTTCTTCACTGCTTAATAATGAGTATAGAGATTCAAGAGTTATGGGCAGCGGTGAAATTCGAATGGCTGCCTTGAATGGGTTGTAGGAAGCGGGTAGCCCTTTGAGTGTATAAAGTATGATGTCTTCGGTTTCTATTTTGCTCCCAGCAGCTGCTATGTTATCCACTAAGGATTTGATCTTGGCCAGATACTGAGAGACCGACTGATCTTTCATCTGAACGTTGTGAAGTTCATTTTTGAGCTGGAGCACTCTCGACCGGTTCACTGGCTGGAGACGCAGCTCCAGCGCTGTCCAGATCTCATTTGAAGTTTTCAGATGCAAGATGTACGGTAGTACCGAAGCAGAAATGGTAGAGAACAGGGCTGAGACTAGGTTCTGATCCACTAGTCTCCAAAGCTTGTAATCTGCATCATTGGAGTCATCCGGGCAGGATAGAGAGCTTGTAATGTAGCCGTCAAAGCCGTTTGCTGCAAACACTTGATAGATCTGAAGTCTCCAAATCGGATAGTTGTCAATGGTGAGATGAGTGTGGACTATGGATTTGAGGTTGTTTATCAGAAATTTCAAGGCGGGCGGAATGACCGTTGCTGCCATAGTTGACGATAGGGTGGAAGTAGATCTGGATTGAGTGGAGGAGTCTTGCTCCGCCATTGTTGTCGATGAGACGCAGAAATCCCAGGTTCACTGCAAGTATATTTATGAGAGATTAAAAAATTGTTTGATTTTTCAAACCGAATTTTCAAATATACTTCAAGTCCTTAATTTGAGCTCATTTGTAGTCAGATCGGATCACTTTCGGTGTCAATGGATTCGTGTAGTCATGACATTTAATTTTACTATAAGTTTACTGAAATAGCTCAAATAGCCCTAAACTTAATCCCGGAAGTTTTTAAATCGAAAATGCATTGAGATTCATGCCTTATCAAGTCAATTTTTTATGATCTATCATTTTTTTTTTTTTCAAAACTCTTAAACATACATGCCATGTCTCTTTTCTTCTGCAAAAATCTGAATTTCTCCCTATTAGTTATTTTTTAAGCCTTATTGCCGATCGTAAATAACAGTAAAAAATGGCTTTCTCTTTCATTACTGAATTAAAAAATATATATATCTTACAAAAGAATTATTTTGTATTATACATTCTCCAGGTTCCCTCAACATATGATAAGGCTACACGCTCAAATCTAAGGTAACTGATACAAAGGATCAAACCATTAATAATTCAAAATTGACACTTGGTAAACTTCAACTGGAAGCTTGCAGTGTTGCTCAAGCACTGCAGCAATTAAACCAGAAATTTCACCTTAGAAATCACAACAAGAATTTGTCAGTTATAAGTTTAAGATTGTTGCGGGCTAGGATATTCGTGATGGTAAGTAAAAGAAATTCACGTCTTAGCATTACACAATTATTCAACTCACAAATAGAGAGAATAGGAACACCATCTTTTTTTATGTAGAAAATCCCTTTACGGGGTCACTCCCAATTTAAATGAATCTACTAATGTATGAATATATTACAAAGATTGATTCATCCTTGAACTTGAGGATGATTAGATTATAATAGTCAACTATCGGGTAGAAATCTAGCAATGAATAAGGGTCAGATAGAAATCTGATGATGGTAGGTAGTCGGGCGTAAATCCTGCGTCAGTTGGTGACTAGATGAAAGTTAGGCCACAATTGGTGGTATAGTTGGTGGCCGGGTGAAAGTTTGGAGAAAGTCTGGTAACGATCGGTGGCCGGGCGGTGATCGAGTAGGAGTCAAGTGGCAAGTGAACTCTATGATTTCTCTTTATCCCCTCCCTTCCTTGCTTTCTCCCCTCTCAGTGAAGAATGATGGGTCTATATTTATAATTTTTTGGAAGTGACATGACCAATAAATAGGAAGAAGATCAAAGGAATGTTGGAAGTATTTCAAATGAACTGCTGATATTGACTTCATTGATCGTAGACTGGCTATTGAGTATTTTAGTGCCTTAATGATATTAAAAGTCAGCAATCTTAGGCTCATTGGATTCGTCTTGTCGAGCCACTCAATTTTACTATAAGCATGTCACATTTGGATGTCATTTAGTCATCCAATTTATATTTTGAGCCTTCCAAATGTGCATGGACTATAAGTTTGGTTAAATCAGAGTAAGTGTAAGTCATTGAGTTCATCTTTTTGAGATGTTCAGTTCGACTGTATGTTTGTTGAAATTGGAGTTTGGCTGGTCATGAATTTAATTTTGAAAATTTCCATTCAAAATTGCCTCGATATTTGTGTCCGTTCAAAAAAAATATTTGATGATGTATCAATTATTATATATTTTTCTTTAAAAGATGTTTTTAAATATGAATAAGAGTTTATTTTCTTGCTAGTAAATAGAAGTATATAATTTCTCTCTTCTACTCCATGCACTTACCATTCAAGAGTAATACTCTTGTACTCTACTTCACCGTCTTAGCTTGAGAAGCCATCACTTTTTGACAACATAAGTGTTAAATCTAGTGAAATTTTTTGGCAATGTAATCTAGGATTTAAGTCTATTAATTCATTAAAAACTAAAAATTTAATTTTTTTTGTTTACAATATAAGTTATTTATTCACTTTAATTTAAATTATCATTAATAAATAATATAATTAAAAATTAATTTCAAAATTAAATAATTTAACTAAGAATATAATTATTATTTAGAATATTAATTATCTAACTTAACTGGTAATATAACTTAGAGATATTAACTAGCTTTATTATCTAATTACTATTATAAATATTAATAACATAACTTATTATATAAGTACTGTTGCGTCCAGGAGTATTCGCGGCGGTAGAGAAACACAAAGTTTATCGTCTTAGCGTTGTACGAAAATCCGGCACGCAATTAGATAAGGAGAAAGGGTCTAGCATTTATGAGACACCAAGATTTTTACGTGGAAAACCCCTGTAAAAGGGGGAAAAACCACGGGGCCTAGCCCAGTTTGAATGAATCCACTAGTATTGCAGTCGATTACAAATGAGGCCCTTCCCTAGGAGAAGGCCTTAGCTTGATGTACATCTTATGGAGTACATTACATGATGTAAATACAAAGAATCACTATTGACATGTTCGCTTTGTTAGAAGGACTGCAGTCGGCGGGCGACGTAGGTCAGGAGGACCGTAATCAGCTGGCGACAGAGGACTGCAGTCGGCGAGTGACATAAGTCAGGAGGACCGTAGTTGGCGGGAGACGAAGGTCGGAAAGATTGTAGTCGGGGGGCGACATAAGTCATTTAATTATTATTTATATTATTAATTATCTAATTAATTTTCAATTTTAATTTATATTAATTAAATTAATTCCTAATTAATTATAGACTATTTGCTTCTTCTATTTTCCTTCTGCCTGCGTTCACTTCTTCAGCTCCTTCGACGACGTTCGTCCAGTCGAATTGGAAGTCGCGGAAGTTCGCCGTTCGTCCTGTTGGATCAGGCGTAGCGACGGGAGCTCGCTACCTGTGAAGGTAACTGTCGTTCTCTCTTTCGCGCGCTTCTTCAACCAAATCCCGTAAATCCGCCGAACTCGAGGATTTAGCAAATCGGGGAATCACGGAAAAAAGAGGGAAACATAGGATTTATTCCGCCGTGAGATCTACCCGCTGCTTAAATCCTGTTGCCAAACAGCCCCTTCGTCTTCCCGGAATCCTGACGCAACTGTCTTCCCCAGTTTCCTACTCCCAGCGATGAAAACCAGTTGATTTTGGCACAGAGAAACTGAAACGGCGTTTTGCTAAGCTATTTCTCTTGTTTTCTCTCCTATATCTTTGGTGAGTTTTTCCCTCTTTTTCCTCCTTTTACCTTATGTAGCTGATTTATCATTCTTTTCAATCTCCCCCGTTATTTTTTAAGGACTCTATTGAATTTGAATCTGTAAGATTTGATTAACTCTATAAAGTCTATCGATTGATGAGTTTTTCTGTATCTATTAAAGAGGTTCGGAAGAAAATTATTCCATTTGGTTTTATTTTTTCTTCTTTTGGGGGAGGCGTTTAATTTTGTGCAGTCTAGAGCGATTTGTTTTTTTTTTTCTTTTCAAGGCTTGTGAGGACTGCTGAAGTAGTTGTCGTGAACTAGTTCGGTGTAGGAGGAAGCTTTTATAGTAATCGCATTTTTTTTAAATAAATGACAGATTTGGTTCATTTTACTATTGTCATTGTAATGAAGTAATAAGGAAAACATGTTAGCATGTACTTGTTTCTGTTTTGCTCTTGAGCAAATGGACCAGTTGTTGTTACACGGTTTGAATGGGAGTTGGATATCTGTATGCTATGTGATTGCTGTGCTGCTTATGATTTATGTAGAAAGCATGTGTTCATATGTAAGAGCCAAGTTCATATACGTGGTGGAAGATAAACTACTTGCATCTGCATTTAGGGCTGTAAACTAGTTGAGCCAAGTTTGAGTCACCCCAGCTGGAGCTTCAGCTCGAGCTCAAAAGCTTGCTTGTCTTCAAATGAACTAAAGAAAGGAAGACCATGTCCCTTTGCTTGATTACAAGTATGACAAAATAAAAGAAGAAGGCATAGATCAAGTGGGTTGTTGTTTTCAGATAGCAACTACTGTAGCGTGATGAGGATAGCCCAACTGCCGGTGCCATAGATCCGGGACAGAACTGGTGTTGAAGTAAGCATATTCCAGAGGTGGTTGAGGGGCGAGTTTGATTGGATAAAGATCATTATGGCTGGGACCTTGAAGTAGGAATTGATTGGTTTGCAAATCCTTTAATTGAAAACCATTTGAGTCAAAAGATATTAAACAAGAGTTATTATTAGCAAGAAGCCTTTGGATGGAGAGAAGATTGTGAGAAAGAGAAGGAACATGATATTGAGGTTGAATTTAGAGCTTAAGTGTGGGTGTAGGAAGCAAACCTTGTACGATAGCTGCAATTGGGAGTTGTTGGCCATTTTAAACAGAAATTTGTTGCTTCCCATAGTAAGGTTTTGGTTGTTGTAGTTGATTGAAATCAGGTGTGAGATATAAGGATGCGCTTGTACCCAAAAATCAGTCTTCAGTTGATGAAATTTCACTGGCAGCTAAATCAGACAGAGTAGCCGAAGAAGATTGATAGTTGAGATATGTGCGAGACTAGCAATGCGCTGCAGTATGACCCTTTTTCTGGCAAATCTGACATTCAGTGATAGTTGTTGTAGAGTGAGCACCATGCTGAAAATATTATCTTCCACCACGGTAGCCACGGTAAGGTGGACGTGCATGATTTGAGGGGTGAAATGGAGCATGACCATAAGAGCGGCCACAAGTAGTGTTGAGAGCAGCAGGAGCTTCATAAATATGAACCTCACGAAGAGCTTCAACCGCTATATTAACCTCTTCACTAAAAAGGAGTGAATATAGATCATCAAGAGTGGAAGGTTGTAAGTTGGTGCGAATGGCCGTTTTAAAAGCATGATACGAAGTAGGTAATCCATTCAATGTATATAGAATAATGTCTTCGAGATCAATTTGAGAGCCTACAACGGAGATAGCATCAACTTTAGCTTTGATCGTATATAAGTATTGAGTCATGGTTTGATCCTTCATTGTAATGTGATGTAGTTCACTCTTGAATTGTAGAAGATGGGATCAGTTTGAAGACAGCAAGCGCTTATCTACTGTCTACCATACATCTGTACAAGTGTTGAGATTCATAATGTATGGTAGTAGAGAAGGTGAAATAATAGAATACAGCGTTGTAGTAAGTTTTTGGTCTATTAGTGCCCATGGATTGTAAGCAGGATTTGGGGAGGGAATGTCATTTGTAATGAATAAAAACTTGGGAGGCGATGGAGTAGAACCAGTTAAAAAACCATCAAAACAATTCGCAGTGAACACTTTAAGGGGCTATTTGGTAGAATCTAGGATTTCATTTAAGTAGGATTTTTTAAATCCTTCAAATCCGGATTTACGAAATCCTACGGATTTACGAAATCCTGAGGGAGTTAAATCCTGAAAACTGTTTGGTAACCTTCATGATAAATCCTATGTGACTGTTTGAGTATTCCATTCAGGGTTTAAGGAGGCTGAAAGATTTGGGCAGAGTTTCTTCCTTCCTGCGCCAGAGGATTTCGGAAATCCGCCGAACGAGAGGATTTCTGAAATCCGGGATTTACGACGAAAAGGCGGAATTTTCCGTCTATTGCGGCTTTGATTTTCCGTGAGATTTGGTTTTGCGTTTTAGGCCGTTTGGCTGGATTTCACCTCAAATCCGCCTCAAATCCGGCCTAAATCCGCATACCAAACAGCCCCTAAAGAATCTACGATCTCCACATCAAATGATTATCTGTAGTGTGTGGAGCATTTACCATGCTTTTCACATTGGTAAGAAAGAACTTCAATTGAGCGGAGATGTGAAGCTCTGAAGTAAGGTTGCTGGAAGTTCTGAGCTCCCCAGTGGTTTGAGAAGACTCATTTATCTTTGGAGTGTTCATTGATGCAAGATACTATGACGATGCAATAAAGCTAAAAAAACTCTGATACCATATAAAACATATAAAAGCATACTAAATACTAACAGAGATTAACAGAGAACTAGGAGAACAAGGAAAGCTTAAACCAGTATTCTTCTTCTTTGTTTTATCCATCATTTTCCATCCCATCAATAGTTCACAAGTTACTGTTTTATATATCAGGTACCTCGTGGAGATAGAATAGATGAGATTACATTAAGGGCTGAGATCAAACAATAATAAAGCTGTTTCCATTAGCATTAGCATATGTAGTGGAGCAGGCACGGTAATTATAGTAGGGAATAATCCCTGTTTGAGCCAACACAGATTGCCTTAACAAGAATCAGGCTGGGGGGCACACAGCTAAGGAGTATGTAATGGGGAGTTGGTTAAACTCAAAGGTGGTAGGAAGTTCATTGCTGTAAGTAGTGATTGTAATGGGCAATAAATTTTGGCGTTTTTGAAAATAGTAAATATAGAAGAAAAGTGTACCTGAAAAGGGATTATTCGGAATGAAATTGCTTTTCTTCTTCTCCTTTATTCTTATCCCCAGCTTTTTCTCCTCTACTGTACATAATATCTTCTTGTTCTTGGGAGTAAGATTTTTGTACTGTCAATGGATAAATTTAAATCCAGCTAAAGTGGTTTGCGCAGACCATTGACAAACTTGGTAACAACAGTCCTCTATAACCTTCTCCCAACTCTTTGGCTTTGGCTTTGGCTTAGGCTTTTTGAATAATTATTTTCTATTTATTATTGTTAAGTGCTATATTAGATTATAATGCTGTACTAGGCTCATCTTCTAACACAATTCTTATGTTACACTTGTTCTATCTTTTTTTTTTTCCTTCTAATTCTATCAAGTAATTCTATGTATTTTTCTTATATGTGCTTCTTTTGTCTTTTATCGTGTATATGTCTAAACCATTTAGGCTATTTTATAATATTTTATCCTCAATAGGCTTTACTGCTCCTATTTTATAATATTTTATTATGTGAAATGATTTTTCTTTATTAGATTTAAATGATACTTTGACTTTTAACAAGACAATGGTAAAAAAGGATTCATGTAGCCGACCCCACATAGTGGAACAAAGGCTTGATGTTGTTGTTGTAGGCTCTACTGCTCCTAACCCTCTAATATGAGTTTTTATCACACATAGTGGGATAAAGGCTTGATGTTGTTGTTGTTGTATCTAAATTTCTCATTTTCAACACTCAAAACATAGCTATCAGAGTCTTATGTGTTACCCAACATTGGGATCTCGTGTAGTTAAACATCAGAAAACTCAACCTAGTCTCCATTATATCATCTTTATCATATTATAAAAATTAACTGCCAAATTTTAACTCTAAGAGCCATTACCTTGCTAGTTCTTAGATTTCATAAACAAAAGATCCAAATTACTTCAAAGTATCATAAGTTTCATTTGATATCATGCAATTTGATTGTTGCCAATCTTAAATCCACTAAAATTGCATTTCATCTATCAATTTTTTGTATTTTTCTTTGTTGTTCAAACTTTTGATTTACTTCAAACAGGCCATCTGCAAGAACTATAACATTTAAAAAAAAATTCAACGTAATGCATGTTTTCATTTTTTTGAACGCTTTCTGTAGTACTAAAAAAAGAAATAAGAACATTACCCTCACACTATTTGTATCTTGGCATAATTGATTCAATAGTTTTGAAAATGATTCATCCTTTTCTGATGGAACGCTTTTCCATCATCTTGCTTTTATGAAGGGAGATCAGATATTCTATAGGTAAGAGAAGAAAAAAACCTATCTCATACAAATACTATGTTGAAACGAAATTTTATGCCTTGACATTATTTTCTTTGTATACTTTTTTTGTTCTGTTGATTAGAAGCTATGATGACCATTGCTACTATTTGGAAAATAACAGAAATGGAGTCCCTTTCTATTGGTCATCTTATTCCTTCAGTTCAAGCTCATTTTCCTACAAGAAGACGATCTGCTGGTATCACATCAGAGGATTTTACAGGAGATACTTTGTTCGCTAGGAGGATCAAGAAGCAGAATGGCTGTTCTCGCCTCATCTCTCGTTCAAGAAGATCTCTGTATCAAGGTATGTAGCCTCGAGTGCTGGTCTTTGATATTAAGCATTGAGCTCGTTGCATGGAACGAAATGACCGCATTTTGATCATTGAATGTAGATTATGTATGTCAAAATATCATTAATTGTTTTACATTATGTGACTTGTTAATATCATGTAACAAAAAATCTACCACAAAATAAAGAAATAATCATTCATTTTAACATTCCAAGTGAGAGATTGCATACCTTAAAATATGAATAAAGGATTTTTTTTTTTAATAAAGTGAAGAACTAAATTTCCAAATCCATGCTATATTGGCACAAATTTGGCGGATCGTACCTAATCCTCTGAAATTTCATGGGATTGCTGAAGTTTTGCCCCTGTGGATCTGACATCCTATGCCATTTGGTGCTTAGGTCTCCATATTAAGATGCACAAATGATATCTACCTTTGGGTATCTACTGCTTGCTGAAATCTAAGGAAGCACTTCCAGTGTTCAATTTCAATGAGGAAGCTTTTTGATTCGATTCTTTCAAATTTGATTGAACCTTTTTGACAGCATATGCTTACAAACTTAAGTTTCAGATTTTCAGGAATTTGCAAAACCCTCGCATCTTTTGCCAGCAACTGAAGTGACAACATATCCCTTGCATCCATCTGAAGAGATTATTTCTTCTCTGGAATTGGATCAGTTAAGCTCATTCTACGTGGTAGAGCTGCGCACAAGCAGAGACTTTGGGTCTTGTTTGGGAGATCTAAATGCTGCAATATTGCTGTGTTTGATAGATGAGAATGGTAAATCAATCCTGCAAAGGATTTCTTCTGTTTCACTAGAACGCCCACGCCCAAGAAAAGATAAAGACACCATAATCTCTGAATACATCCCCTTCCAGAGAGCCTCAGTTGATTTTGTCACCTTTAAAGGGCCAAAGTTAGAAAAGATAGCAGCACTTTGGATTGGCCTTGAATCTGGTAAGTGTCAGATCTTATAAAAAAAAATTATGGATTTCATTCGCAGTTTCTTTCTATTCATTATTTTCAACCGAAGATCAGGTTCTTGGAGAGTGGATACTGTTGGTCTAAAAGTTATTAGTGCGAGCCCCACAACTACATCATTAGCTGGAGAGAAAGAGAGCTATTTTGCAGGTATGCAGTATAAATTCGAGGGAAATAGCTTACCACTTGGTGATGGAGGATTGCCAGTTGCAGAGCTGAGGCCTCTCCTTGTTACTCAAATGGTCGAGGACGACATTTCCGCCCTGTCGAGCATCGATTCCTCTGCAGCAACTCTGTATTCTGATGCTGAGCTTTCAAAAGAAGGAAGCATGAGAGAGTATGCTGATCTGAAATTCTCATTGTTGCTTTATGACATTATCCTCATCATCATCGGCACAACGATTTTAGCCGTCTCTTCAATTGAGGTCAATGCTTATTCTTTCTTAGCTGGTGGTATTGGTGGTTTTCTTTATCTTTTGCTGCTTCAGAGATCAGTTGATGGTTTATCAGTTCCATTATCATCAGCAGAAGATGTCAAGTTAGAAGACTCATTGCAAAGTTATGGAGGTCTGAAGAAACCAGCGATGAGTCTAGCCTTTGTAATGGCCGCCATTGTTGTGTCATCTAAGCATTGGATGGGAGCAACAAATATGGTGTTTTCTCCTGCAGAGCTTTTTGCTGGAGTTGCAGGATTTCTTACATGTAAGATAGCTGTTGTGCTTGCTGCATTCAAGCCAATACAACTGACCACGAAGGAAAAGAAAATTGAGTGAACTTTGTATATGTCATATAATTTGATAATATTCACCCTTGCATGAATTTCTGCTAGGTAAAGATAAGCTGAGCACCAAGGCAGAAGCTTGCTTAAATCTGTCAGCGAATACATGCACTCAATAAACATTAGATTAATACTCGATTACTGATTAATTAATTTTCTTTAATATGATTGTTTTTTAGAGTAAAGTTATCAACTTTCAAAATTTTTAACAAGCATACATGATTTCAATCTCTTTGTGGGTTGGAGTTGATTAGATTGATGTAGGTTGGAGATTTCAAGTCTCACTGTAGCTCATGATCTTAAATTTAATCATCACCAACAATTATCTTCAAATCTTCATGATATGCCTTATAAGGTTTTCGAAGATTTTTTTAATGTAAGATTAAAGGCCACATTATTAATAATTAATTTTGTTGCGTATAAAAAATTCATATTAATTTTATGTTAAGATATAACATATATATATATATATAGGTGAAAAAAATGAAAAATTAAATCACAGGGTCTTAGTATATTGTTAATTACAAATGATACGTAGAGAGTGTTTAATATTTTAGTTTTATACTTAGAGAGTTTTTATTATTTTAATTACACTTTGATTCAGAAGAGACTAGCAAATAGCTCTAATGTATATGCTAAGGATTAAAAAAATGGTTGAATTAATACTAGAATATCAGTCACAAAAGATTCCTATCGGATTTGTGTGTCGTAATAAAAGACCAAATGTTTATGCGTGGAATACACCGTCTAGAAAAATCTACAATTAATAGACAGGATATGTGGAAACTGAATGCTAAGAATACATCCAAAAATGTTATCAACAATAAGAGAAATTATTCTGTGTGGAGTCCGGACTGTGAGTGTACACGCTATACAATTTTTATACACAATTTGGTTCAAACTGTGTACACTATTTTGTATACAGGGTGTACACTCACAATTCAGATGGATATTTCCGTTCGGACTCCGCACGGAATAATTTCTCTAAAAATAGACTCACAAGTGTTACTGTGGATGAGGCATAAGAATGACAAATTAAGAAAGATAATCTCAACTTTAAGCATTTCAATATAAAGTTAAAGGAGAATAAAGTGCTATATATGCAGCTCATCAAACAAAAATACTACCAATGTGAAAAGATGACAAATCTAATAACATTGAAAAGCAAGCTTCACAAATACTAAATTTCCAAATACCCATAATTTTTTATTTTAAATTTTAAAGAGACAGCTTCTTGTAAGAATAGAAAACTTCAATCCCATAAGCTAAGTTGACATGATCACGATATAAGATTTGAATTAAAGGTAGTAGATTCAATTAGGAACTTGTTGAGCTTAAGCTCAATCATTCGACCTTCATGAATCAAGTGGATAGTAGATTCAATCTACTAGCTTGGTCCTTTAAACCTGTAAATTAAATTATTCAATTTGCAAAGTGCAAACTTTGTGCATAATGTTAAGCTCGGTCCTTCAACCTTAATGAATCTAGTGGATGAATAGTTTTAGTTTATTTTGTGTTTCTTTAACCAAGGCATAATTAAATCACTTATTGTCATTAATTTAGTCTTTTGAAGAACTAGTAAGTGAAAATCAATTGAATGTTGACTCCTTCCTTTCATAGATAAGCCTCAAATAAATAAGTTATTGGTTCCCCAGTTTGAAGGGGAACCAACTATTTATTCAATTGAATTGAAACTTAGACTTGTGCAACTACTCACTCCATTAAATTTTCTAAATGTGCTGCCATAAATTCAACTAGTTTATGTTATTCTTCCACTAACATTAATGACTTTGGGGAAAAAAAGGCTGACCATCAACTACTCTCCTGATTTCAACTTAGCATGAAAAATTATCCTAGCATAAAGGTCGTTGTTTACGGGTACTTCTACTACACATTTGCTTAGAAGGGTTTTTAACCAGCCACAAGGAAAGCCTTAATGACAAATCATGGTGCATCTTTCTAACCAGGTTCACAAACAAGCATAGCAGATATCAGAGCCACTGAGTACAAGTCAAACAAGGCATACAAGTGAAACCAACGGAATTTTATGTTAAAAAAAAAAACAAACAATTGACTTTGAGACTGCAGTTAAGCGGTCAAATTAAATGATGTCACCATTATAAGTTATTCTTAACAGAAAGCACACAATTTATCATCCTTGCATCATGAGCTTCCTTCAGGTATCAATCATATCTACCTAACAATGAACGTTCACAAAATTCTTCATATTCAATGGATCTGCTTGAGCATTAAATATCAATTTTTGAAAGGGGTTCACAACTTGATTTCAACAGTGCACCTTTTTTTTTTTTTTGAAATTTATCCACACATACATACGAATTCTTTGCATATGTGCATACATATTTTGAAAGAACATGAGAATTTTCATGAATGCGTGTCATTTGCATAACGGTAACCTACTTGTTTAATTCTTCAGGAATCACCTTTCGTATTGGATTGTAATATTATCCTCATTTTTTGGACAATCCTCACAGGCATGAAGTCAACTGTAGAATCACCTGTAAAAAGACACAAAACATAATAACAAAAGGAAACTATTAAGTATAATCTTATATAGATGTATTTTAAAATCTAAAAAGATTTTTAGGAGAAATAAATTCAACATTCAGAAATGCTGAATACATCATGGAAACAAACAGCAGAAAACAGATGGATTGTGGGGGGAAAAAGGAACAGAGACCGAAATTAATAAACCATGCACTGAGTATGAACATAAAGACAGAAATTTCAGGCATTCTCACCTGCACTACATGCACTGACTATAAATGCTGTTGAAAAATACCATTTATGGCCAGAACTTCCCCTTTTCCAATCATCCAGCTTCCTAGCAAGTTAAATAGGAAACAAAAATGCTCATTTTAGTCCTCATCTGAGTCTGATTCTGATTCAGATTCATCATCCTCCACCTCATAGCATTCACCCTCTTCATCCTCATCTTCATCATACCCCTCATTCCCTCCCTCTAACCCCTCTTCCCCATGGCCTTCATTCCCTAGCCGGTCCAGATCATCTTCATCCAGCACTAACTTCGTCATGCCCTTTCCCCTGTATAATATTCCAGTCCTCATCACATAAAACAGCTTATCCCTCAACAATGTGATCGGATGAGGATCAACAAGCTTTCCCCTCTGATACCCTTCCCTTAACATCACAGTTGTGGTCTTGCATTTCATGGACAAATAGAAAATCCCAGGATACCTCGTAAAAATCCTAGTAAACCGCTCAGGCAGTCCGAGCTCCTCCCTCAGGCTCCTAATGTAATTCCTCTTCGTTTTCTTATGAATCATAAGGCTGAGAATCTCATGAAGCACCCCAACAGTACGCTTCTCCATCAACTCGCTCTCTGGGTCGATCCCAGAACAGTCTTCGTAGGGGGAAAAATAGGGCAGCCGGTGAAACTCCTCCATCCAGGCCTTGACCTTCTTCTGCGCCCCGTAGCCACGCGGAAAGCTCATATTAAAGGTAAGCGGCGTGGCGGAGGAAAACGCGCCGCGTTTAAAATCTCGATACGAAGGATTGGAGATGGAGTCCGCGTGGCGAAGCTGGAGGGCAGAGACAGCGAGATCGGACGGCCAGTCGACGAGGGTGAGGCGATGCTGGTCGCCTCTGGCGACGATGCGGAAGAGATCAGGGCGAGAGGGGACAAGGGAAGTGGCGAAGGTGGATGGGAGCCCAAGATCATAACGGAGGGGAGCAAGCGCGCGGAATGGAAGCGAACGGGAACGAGACATCATGAGGAGGCGCGCGAGGCGGGAAGCGGCAGCAGACGAGTCAGCGGAGTAAAGATCGAGTTCGCGGCGACGGAGGAGGACGGCGGCTGCCGCGAGGGAGAAAGAGGGGAGGGATGGGTAACGGGGATGGGGGGTTTCGATGAAAAGGGTGGGGTAGCGACGGAGGAAGCGGAGGACGGGGACGGTGAGGCCTAGGTTTCTCTGGAGATGGGAGAGGGAGCGGGCAGGGATGGGTGAGGAAGAAGGGGAGCGAGCGATGAGATCGATGAGGAGTGCGGCGGCTTTGATGTCGGTGTCGCGGTCGATAATGTGATCGAGGCCGCGGTTCTTGACCCATTTGAGACGGACTTTGGTGATGAAGCGTAGGGTTCGGTGGAGAGTCGCCTGTGCAGAAGGAGAATGATGGTGGGAGGAGGCCGAGCAGTAGGAGAAGCGGACTCTGGCAGCAATGGATCCGATGCTCACCATTGCTGTTAATCTGTTTTGAGCGAGCAGGATCCAAGTGAACGAAGAAGCAGAGCAGGGTTTAAGTATCGGGTCGGATCATTACGATGATGTTATGCCAGCAGGTTCGGAGCGGGTTACGTTGACCTACTAAACTCATCAAATGAATTTATGAGTATTAGGCAGCTCTCTTTGATTTATTTGTTAGGAGTTGAATCTCATCTAAGAAGAGGTTCTATATTTGAAACTCAAATATGTTTTATATTTGTGTTTGAAAGCTTCCTCTAATTTTCAAAAAAAATATATATATATATAAGTACTAAAGCAGCTCATTTTCTTTCGTTGGTTGGAAGCTTTACTTATCAATTATAAGGTATTAAATTTGTCTTATATGTATGATGCATATGAGTTTATCTTAATTGTCCTAAATGTTTAAAAAATATATATTTTAAATAACTTTTTTATTGCTTTCTAAAATAGCTTTTTAATAAAAAAAATTTGAATTGAAAATTTTTGGTACTAGAAAGCCGTTTTAGAAAATAATAAGAAAGTTGTCACAAATAAGGATTAAGGCTTCGTTTGGAACGGCTTTTTATTACTTTTTAAAACGGAGTTTTAGTACAAAAATAAAAAAATTTGCACTAAAACTCCGTTTTAGAAAACAGTAAAAAAACCGTCCCAAACGAAGCCTAAATTAGAAATAAATTATTACAAATATGAATATAGGAGTACATAATGGTGTACTCACACAACTCATTATTGGATTCGAAACTTGCGTATGTTATTTGTGTGTGAATTTATTTTAATTGACCAAAATATCCCCAAAAATAACATAATGATGTACTGCTATTAGATTCTGATATATCTGAACAATGAATGAGAAATTCTTAAACTACCACAATACATAATATGTACTCGCAGCATGCCTTAAAAAATTAGAATACACTGAAGATATATGCATAAGTAGGCCAACATTGAGTGGATCAACTAAAGCAAGTGTATTATGACTTATTTTTATAGAAGCAAGTCATTATTATCAATGTTTTTATTTTGTGTCAATTTATTTAAAAAATTTAACATTATTGAAAAAATTAATTTTCATCCATTTTTTCGCTCAGAATCAGGTGAGTTTTTTTTTTTTTTTTTTCATTAATAAAATTTTGAGTTTTTATATCATTCAATATGGGAGCACTCAAGGCACAATGCTTCACGAAGCCAAGGGTCAGAAATGTATGAGGTGAAAATAACAAATAAACAAACTTTTGTTTGCCTTTAGCAAACTTATAAATAGCTAGCCGAGTTGAGCTATATCTGCTTATAATGAATGAAAAATTATTCTGTGCGGACTCCAAACATCGAATGCATAGGATCGTTCGGATTTGCTCCATATTTGTAGATATGTAGTAAATACTCAGCAAATTCTCAATTGTGAGTATTTGATGAGTTTTTCCTGACTTTTCCTGATTTGCTGAACATTTATTCTGGACGATTTTCTGCATTCGGAGTCCGCATATAATAATTTCCCATAGTGAAGGACCTCACAATAATGCTGCCCCTTTATTCACGCAGCTGAAGGGAGAAAGAACTGGAGGATCCTCAGCCAGTATATCCATCTTGAAGGATTAGAAGACAAAGCTATGGTGTGAGAGGACAGTAACTATAGTAATAATAACATTATTCAGTAACACAAGCCAACAAGAATGGGCCCAAAATTATAAAACATGAGAGTGCTAACGAAAGAAAATCTGGTTCAGTTAAATGAAGCCCAACAACGGTTCCCAAGACATGATTCGTGCAAAATGTTGGTCATTAAAAGAGAATCATAATATTAATTTAAGTGTTGCAGACATAAGGATGCTTGGGTGGATGAGTGGCATTACTCTTAGAAACAGAATACGAAACGAGCATATACGTGAAAAGGTTAGAGTAGCTCTAGTGGCAGATAAGATTAGAGAGAGTCGACTTAGATGATTTGGTAACATAAATGGCGGCCTTCCGATGACCCGGTTAAGAGAGTAGATGTATTAGATTTAACCTATGTTAAGAAAGGTAGAGACAGACTTAAAAAGACTTGGTTATAAAATATTAGAAATGACCTTTCTTTATTAGATGTAAATGAGAATTTGACTCTTAACCATATACAATGAATAAAAGTGATTCATGTAGCCGATCCCACGTAGTGGGATAAAGGCTTGATGTTGTTGTAGTTGTAGTAATCAGGTCTGCTTGGAAAACTGATACAACAAGCATGGCACGCATGAACCCTTTCATTATCGGTTCTTCTCTTGGCCCATGAGAATTTCCTTCTGTACAAAACTCATTCTGGATCCAGGCAGAGTCTGAATCTGATTGGTTCACCCTTGTAGGAAACTAGCCTGCCTTAGGCTCACAAGCCTAACCCATCTCCCTCAATTTAGTTCCCTAAGGGTAGAGCACAAGTCTAGCTAGGTAAACAAAATGTACAAAGATAACTTTCAATTCCCTAAAGCCTCACCCACTCACTTTATGGGGAATCCCAATTTACCTTTCATTATTGTACATGTGTTGAGTTTGTTCTAGGTTACTAAATCTAAATCCTTTGTGGTTCATTTAAATAAACAACTAACTTTGCAAATGACTTTGTGCCCAAGCTCATCATTATTTGTAAACCATGTACTTGATTTTGTATCCATTTAAATAAATAAAAATGATGTTGACTTTGGAACTTACAGCCTCACTTTGAGGTTTTGAGCTCTATATTTTGTTGGACCCCAAATTCTCGGAGATCCTGACCTTGTCTTAAGGTTCTGTTACCATTGGAGGAGATCCCTCCTTGGCTTGGACTTGGCTTGAGGCCTTCCCAATCCGATCGCTTCTGACTGAAAATGAATTATTTAAACGCACAGTTACCTTGAGGTAAGCTATGGTGAAGCCATCCCATTCCCAATAGATCACTTCCTATTATATCGCAATGTAGAAAGCTCTTTGTTGGCCCAATCATTCATGACGGATTTGAATTGTTACAACCCAAATATCCACCCGACTTTAGCAAAGTCAGCTAATCCCAATTCAGAGTTCGCACTTCCTGACAACTTCATCATATTGGATTGAGTCCGGGTTAATATAACGCCAATTTTTCTGTTTTAACTTTCAAAGAAAGTTATATTATCCCCAGTAGAGTTCAGAACAGGGCAAAATTATCATATCCCCGACGGAGTTCTTACCTAGCCTTGAGAAACCTTCATTTCCCCAATCGATTGTTCCGCCTACCACCGGACTTTTTCCATATGGATCGCCCTTTGTTTTGCCATGATTGGTAGCAAATCCTGCTGTAACTCAGCCATTGATAACTAGGTTTAGGGACTAGATCTTGAGCCTTCCTCGCCAACCCAATCATTAGTTAGTGGCCTGACCATAGTCTATTGCAATCTAACCATCCCTTGGGTTTGCTTAGGTGGAGTCATACCCCATAATCAAAGACATGCTTAATACTTTGTATGGTTTAAAATAGAAGCTCGCCCAAAATTTTGCTGAAAAAAAAAAAAAGCAAATCATTAATTTGGGAATCTAAGGTTTTTTTCTAAGAGTACCACATTTGATTTTCAAAAGAAAATTCATTTTCATAATCAGCAAAGCAGATTACTGCTAGGAATAGTCAAACATAATTTCCTAAACAAACAAATACCTAAAAGATAAACTGGAAGCGGTTCTATACCTTCAAAGAAGTACCTCTATTTACCAAATATGACAAAGAAGGACAAATAATCCTCCATATACTTCACCTACCAAAAAAATAGTCAAATCAAGGCATTCTTAATTTGCCGCATATCTCGTTGTCTTCATTCTCAAGTATGAGAATATCGGGCACCTCTTCTATGCTCTTCGAAGGCTGATAAAATATAAAATAATAAACATTCCTACCTAATTAAATGAACATAATTTCTATGATGAATACGGCATATATTGTTTACATACCTGCCAAAATTGTAGTAGCTGCCATAGCAAGAAATTGATCATCATAACTAAGCAAAACAGCTTTCCTGCCCATGGCCCACATTTAAGGTATCTAAAATGAACAAAACAAACATAACCAACATGAATACCATTTTCAAGTTCAATTAAGGTTTCGTTTGGGACAACTTTCATAATGCTTTCTAAAACGTCTTTCTAGTACAAAAATTTCAAATTCAAGAAATTTTTGTACTAAAAAATTGTTTTAGAAAGCAAGAAGAAAGTCATTCCAAACGAAGCCTAAATTTATGATTGTACATCTACATGAAGTTATCCCAACCAGCTTAAATAAAAATTTGAAGCTCAACACAAATACTTAAGAGATCTGATGATAAGAGAAATGCTACGTGACTAAATAAACTATATGCTCGAGTCTTAAGAGAAATATGAAGGCCGAATTGCAATTGCAATGAGAAGCTTATTCCTTGAGAAAAAGCATTAGAAGAAATATACCGTGGAAGACGTTGCAAGAGACTCACATCAGAGCACAACAATGCACGATCATATACAACTTCAGTTCTTTTAGCCACATCCTGCCAGCTATACAGCTTTTTCACCTGCGAATCAGACATTCATGCAATAAGAACAAATCAATTAATGTGAGATTCCATCATAAAAAGTTGGGGAATAAATTCAGATAGAAGCATGGAAAATCTATACAAAAGAAATTCAGAAATGGACAATGGATCAGGAAGCAAAATTAATGCAAAAATGATACTGGCACAATAGTTCGGAAGATCCACCCGATCATGCATGGCCTGTGGATTAATATTTGGAAGCATTTCAATCGCTTCTTTGATAGCCCGGGTCATATCAACAGGTGTAGGTTCCGCAAGCACAATCATATCATCAGGCAAAACCTGAAAAAAAGTTACAACGGTAAGTGGTGCACCAGATGGAAAAAGTTTCATTTAAGAAACAGTTAATATTTCCATGCCTTCTAGAAAACAGATAAATATTGAACAAAAAAAGAACGAAATCTAAATGTCATGCCTCAGGGACTCCACCAACTCTTGTGCTGACAGTAAGTAATCCACAACTAGCAGCTTCAAGAATAGCTATACAAAAAGCTTCCGTGAGAGAACTGCAACAATACGATAGGCTTAAACAGTTGAAATTTGTTTACAGACATGAAATAAAGATTTGTTAATTAGATAATAGAACAAATTCAAGAGAAATTTTTCAAATGAGATTAAGATAAGTGCCCTATTTATTCCAAAAGAAAGTAATAATTTAAGAAATAAAGCTCCTTTGCTGGCAAGAATAGTATCGATGGAAATGTCCCTAGCCAGCCTTTCATCAACAAATCATTATATACTAATTACATTAACCACAAGATGATTATTCGCCACAACAATTCATGTGCTCTAATTATTCCAATTTTGATTACCATTAATTATGTTTAAGTGTTTCCTTATTTGTAGGAGTAGTTAACTAATAATGTTTGGTACCTATACATATATACATTTCTTTTAGTTTTTAAAAAGAATTTCGAGTCAAGTTTTTCCCCTTTTCTACTTCTCTCTTTATTTGTAAAATAATATCAAAGGCATTTATTCTTTCACTCTCTACACCAATGACTGTGTGAGGTCGCCGCTCCCAAATCTATGTTAGTCTTACCATCACGTGAGGCTCGCAAAATAGCTCTCATGCACGTGACGCTTGCATATCGCACGCTACACGCAATCAAAATTCACCCATGAATTTCCTCCATGGGATCATACTCGACCACGAGGAACTCGCCAACACTCACACCCAAAACTAGCCAAAGAAAAATCCATCCTACAACACCCACCAAAAAAAATGCTATAGCTCACCATTTAAAATTTGATTCGACTTCTCTCGCTTAACCAAAACTATAGTTAAACATGAAATGGCCCCCGATAAAAGCTTCACCTCCAACGCCACCAACAATCATGAATGAATTATTCACTGCCACATCAATAGTCATAAAAGCATCGCCTCAAATATTCCACATTTGACACAAACTAAATATTACCTCCTCAAAAAGAAGATCCAAAATTCAAAAAAGATAATTTGAGATTAACATGGTATGTACTAGGTCATCCACAACATAGAAAAAGAAATTGGTCAAAATTTCATGTTCTATACTTTAGTAAAAAAAATATGGGATGCAACAAAAAAAGCTTACTATAATAATGAGAATACCACTCAGATACTCAAAATCTACTCCACGATCTTCGATAATATGATTTATCTATTACTCAATACCATAATACTCTTAATAAATACTGAGAACAGTTGAATGTCTTTAAAGAAGTTTGATTGGAATTGTCCATGAGATGCTCAAGTATAAAACTTTCAAGCTAAGAATATATATTCTAAAAGCTGGGGGGAGGGAATTCCATAATTTGTGGGACCATATCTGTCTCTCATCAAATAATTTGTGAGCTCTGATTGTATCAATAACAGTATGATTATTCACCTCACCAATCCATGTGCTCTAATTATTCCTATTTTGATTACCATTAATTATATTCTAATTATTTTTTTAATTTTAGGAGTAATAATAGATATTTGAATCTTAATAGGACACAATGGAGAAAAAGGATTCATGTAGCCAATCCCACAGTGAAATAAAGGCTTGTTATTATTGTTATAGTAATAGATACCAACTACTTAGAACCGATAATATATATCTTTCCTAGAGTTCGGAATAAGAAAGTCAACTCAAAATTTTCTCTTCTATTTCCCTCCTTATTTTTAATAGTATCCCAAAGCATTGACTCAGTTCATGGCATTCATTATCACGCAAGTATAAAATGACACTAAAGCCAAAAAAAATAAACTCCTCATAGGGAACATACACACAAAATTTGTCACGTGTCCAATAAAGAAATAGTTAGGTTGAAATACTCAAGAGTTTCAGCATTAAAACATCATAATATCACGAACAGTATGAATGGTGACAAAGGCATTATAAAAATGTACAAATATACTAGCTATTAAAATTTAAAAATACTAAGGGTCTATTTGGGATTTTTTTTTTTTTTGCTTTTGCTTTTAAAAATATCTTTTTTTTGGTGTTTTGTATATTTTTTCTTCTTAAAAATAAAACTAAGTTGTTTTTAAAAAACACTCAAAATATTTCTGAGTATTTTTAAAAACAAATATCATCACCGAAGATGGTCAGCCATCACTAGCCCTCAAACCGTCACTATCAACCACCACCTCTATGCATCGTTGTCAGTCAATGCAGCTACTCCGCCAACGACCACAATCATCACCACATAAATTAATTTTTTCAACAACTAAAAAATAAATATATATTTTTAAGATATCAAATACGTTTTCAAATTAAAACATAAACTAGCGTCATTAGAGTGCTGCCAAACAGCCCCTAAGTGAATTAGGATGAATCTTTAAATGTTAATTAAAAACAATGCGAGATGTAGCTGATAGTGCTATAGCCATATTTGTATTAGAACAATCGGCTTATAAGAACAGAGCTGAGATGCAGATGCTCCTAACAATGGATATCTGAAGAAGAATTGCTAGTTATAACGAATGACGCTAAGGAGCAAATTTAAAACATAAAATAAGGTCAATTCAAAACTAGCATGTGAAAAAAGAAAATAACAAGCAAAATAAGACTAATCCAGCACTTGTGCTTAATAAAAATATTGCAATCAGATTGTTTTGTGTTAGCAAAGAAAATTAATATATTTCTTTTACTCTGCCTCTTTGGTAGAAAAAAATGCTGGGAAATAAATACCTGTTCAGGAAAATATGACCAGATACTAATACTGATCGCACTTGAGCATGTGGAACAGCCCCTAGCATTTCAACTCTGTCTTGAAGGGAATATTTTTCCCTCATCTCTTCCAATCTCACACGTTTTAAACCATCTCCCCCAATAACAAAACGGACCTTGAACCAAGAGAACAAGAAAATGATAGAATCCAAAATAATTAAACATAACAGCAACGCATATGTGATAAAACAAACAACCAAATCAGGCCACAGTGGGGCAACAGGAAAAAGTGGAGGAAGGTTTGGGCAGTGGAGTGATATCGGCAAAAGTATGTTAATAATAAATAAAGCAAACAAAGGGAATATTATAGGAAAAAAAAACAAAGATATATCACTAGGTAGAAAATTTAAACCAAGTAAAATTTTAACTTAATTCAAATGAACAAGAGAAAGAGGGGGAGCAACTTACATTTGGATTTAGCCGGCAAACTTCTGGAATAACCTCAACAAGGAGATCTGCGCCCTTGCGATATACCAATCTACTGATGACTACTATAACAATTTCATCATAACAAAGCCGTTTGGGGGCAGGTGTAAACATTGCAGTATCTACTGCATTGGGTATTACAAAAACCTTCTCTGGATCTATACCAGAACGCAAGACTGTGTTTTCCTTGCTTGTGTGAGAAACACATATAGCCTGATCTATATCTGCAAGTGTGAATTGCAGCACTTTGTTCATGTGAATGCTCCCAACATCAGCAAATCTATACAAAGAATGATCAGTGAATACAGCTTTGTATCCCATTGTTCTGGCATGCATTAAGGCTTCATGACAGAGTGTTGAAAAGGCCTGGTGCCCATGCACCACAGATATCCTCTCACGAATAAGGATAGTCCTTATAATAGGAAGGGTACCATAGAATGTCGGTAATGTATTCTGCATGAGAAAAGGTCTCCAAGGTATGTAATAAACTTTCAAACCGCCAGTCATATATCGTACACCAGAGCGATTTCCATATGCATGTGTTGTGACCACAACCTGGGTATAATATCATTTGAGGCATCCAGAAAAACAAAACATGATTTCTAATATTAATCAGCAGCGAATGAAATATATATTGAAATTAAAATACCAAAGTTTCGGATTCAAGGTGAGAAATTTATATATTTTAAAAGCAAGTTTTCTGACCTTGTGACCAAGCTTAATCAAGCATTGCGATAAATAATAAATATGACTTTCCACCCCACCGAAGTTAGGGTAGAAAAAGTCAGAGACCATTAGAATCCTGTGTCTTTGAGGCCCATCCATCTTGTTCAGCCATTAATATACAGCCATAAATCAAGCATGCCTACAATTACAACCGAGAAAGCAAATAAACAGATGACAGAATTCAGAAGATGTGTAAACATGAGTAACATCATAACCATGAAATGTGAACATTGGACCACTTTGAATACTATTATTAGAATCAAATGCTAGAATTCTACATGTAGATTTGAAATTGATGAATACAAGGCACCCTTACACTACTGATCAAACTGTAATATCAATGATCTTTTACTGTTCAGATAGCAATAGAATAATTTAAAACAAATTTACTTACTGCTTGTGTTACGGTGTTTTCAGACGTGATGTGCCATGAGCTAATCAAAATGTGGTGAGAAATAGAAAAGGGCTTGCAAGAACGTCACTCATAACTGCCACTAATCCTAATTGTGGTGAAAAGTGATTAAGTGTGAGCCAGGACAGACATACAACTAATATGCCATATCTAACATGAAATTTAAGAACATTGAATGAAAGGACAAGTATTTGGTGGACAAAATGATTAGAAAAAAAGGCATTAATTTTTTGCAGGAACATAAATAGAAAGGAGAAAAAAAAAGAAGGGCAATAGGGAATGTTATAAGTCATTATACATTGGAGAATAGTAGAAAGCAGATCAAATATTAATTGTGATGAAACATAACTGCCCATCTTTCGAGACAATTGTACGCTTTTCGGAGCAATGACTCACTTCTCAGGGGGACAACATGAGGTGGTTGGACTCTATGGCATTCCTCGTGGTTTGAACTCAAACAGGGATTTTAAGTTTGTTAGCTATTTTTAATCAACTTTTGGAACAGACTTCACACCGACATGGACCTTCATATTTTGAATACCACCCAAATTGATGAGCAAACGAAAGTTGTCAATTGAACTCTAGCGAACATGTTGTGGTGTCTTGAGAGAGATCATCCAAAATATGGGGAAGAAACCATTAGCCGAGCTAAAATTGCTTATAGCTCGATGTTTAATCACTCCATTGGTAATGTCCCTTTTGGCATTGTGTGCAAAAATCCTCCTAATCACGTGGTGGACTTAGATATTCTACCAAAGTGAAACAATAAAACAATAGCAGCCATGGCAACTGATTTTGAGAAGATGCTAAGAAATGTTAGACAAAAAATACTGCAATAATAACATGAAGAAGCATGGTGATTGTTGGTGTGGAGTCTGGACCATTGAAGGAAATTAAGTGGATGTCGAGCCTAGCAAGAGGGAGGAGTGGAGAGTGAAGTAGAAACTCTTAAATATGAATATGAAGAGGGAGAGGAAATCCATTCATGCATAAAACTAAAAATAAAAACATTGTTTTATGGTAGAGCAACCAAGCTCTCCATATGAGAGAGGCCACCAAGCCCCTACCTAAAGAAAACATACAAGGACACCACTTCCAAACACACCAACCATGCTTCTAATACAAAGGGTTTATATATTTATAGCTAAAACAATGCATAGAAAATTTAACTTTAAAATTTTTTAAGAGGGAATTTTGAATTTGAATACTTCCTTTAATTCTTCATTCATTTGGTCTAAAAAAAATTATTCCGCGCATTATCTTAAAAATGCACTCTTCATTAATTTTAATCATTTAGCATTAAATTAATAAACCTTAGAATTACCTTGAATTAATTCCTCCATCTATTTAAGCAAACTTGAAATAATTCTCTATGCATTTAGTACATCTTGAAAGCACTTCCTCCATTCCCTGAAAATCTGAAATTAAAATAATTTGGCCATGCATATTTTGTCCAAGCTTTGATTCCGCATGATTGGTATGATAAACTTAGGCCTACTTTCATAGCATTATGAAAAGATAAATATGATATGAATATAAACTAGTAAAATCATAATTTATGTCATAACACTAAAACATTCAACATGATAATCCATATTAACTTTCAAAATAATACAAATATTTTTATGCCAATGTTCTACATCATAACGCCAGTGTTATCTCCCTCCCTTAATATCTACACATCACTTCCAACTTCAATGATTTTGATATCTATACCCATCATCCATCGGCTGCGATACAAGTCGCTAATCTCAAGCCAAATTCTTCTAGCGCAAGGGGAGATTTAAGGCATAACAATATACTGACGTGGCCCTCTACCCATTCTCTATTCTAACAACTTTTTGCTTTTGGATTATCTTTACTATTCCTTCTGCTTTATTTATGCATTAGCTTGCTATACAAGTGAATTGGTTGATTGCCAAATATAGGAAAAGTTTATTATCCCAGGCCAACTTTTTACTGAATAGATATTTAGTTTTTGTATTACTGTTTCTTCCACCGTCTCCCTTACCCCTGTTCTCAAAAGCTTCTACACTAAGATCCCTCCTTTGAACTTTATTGAACAATGATTAGCTTTTTTTTTTAATGGACTCTACTATGCAAGAAATCTCAAGCCTTCCACTAACCTATATCTCTTCACAAGTGAGTTGAAATCAAATTATTTTTTGAACAAATAGGCTCACTCCATGAAAAACCAAGTCCAAAATCCTAAGTAGAATCAAAGGATAACAAAAAGAATCATTGGGCCCTTTGAAAATTATAGCATCTCTACACCAATAATAAAAATTATGGGGCATATCAAGCAAGTGCAAAAGTTTTAGCTTAATACTATGTTAATTTCCTAGTACCTTAGACCAGCTAGCTTAACTCATCTAGCATTTAGAACTGCATAGACTCTAGAACAAACTAATCGCAAAATGCTTCTACAAACTCATTCCAACTCATAAATAATTAGCTATATCCATAAATTGAGTCTTATGTTGTATTGTCCGTAAATTTTCCACCATGTAGCACAAAAGATGAAAGACACCTTCCTCCTCTCAGCAAGCCATTCCATAAAAAAATATTTCAATCTTACATAGCCAATCCTCAACAACGAGAGTTTTATGGTGGTAGGATGCATTTGTTGAAAAAGCTTCAAGGCATAATTAGCAATAAAAGTTGCAAAGGCATTGGAGTAGGAGTCATTTGAAGAGTCCTTCCAATTTCCGAAGGTCTAACAATCACCCTCACCCTCAACTGAGTTATAGCAATAAACATATGCAACATGATCTCTAGACGCACCAATCAAAGATGTGGCACTCCATTTTGAGATGGAGTGTCAACAATAAATAACAATACAAGAATAACACATGGTGTACAAAGTACTAATCAAGATACTGCTTTTTGATGTTGACAGGATAAGTGAAACATTAATGACAAACAAAGGAATGTCACATCTCATCTGTTCTAAGCTCTTCAACTCCCTTCTCACCATATATTTTAAATTACGAGATATGGTTCTTAAATAATATAAGAAAAGAATAAAAGAATCATTCATACCATACTCTCCTTAGTAGCCTTAGGTAGCCTGCATTCTCTCTTGCTCTCCCTTAACATCTTAACCTGCACCTATATTTGGCACGCCCTATCTAATCAATCTAATGCTATAGCACCACTCTGTCACTTTTATCCAGCTAGCATTGATAATTTCAATAACCTAACAAGATGGGATAATTTTTCAAACGGGTAAATGCAATCACGTGTTCAACCATATAATTCAAAACATCACCAAATTCACATTATGCTGCCACTAAATCCAAAACTTAATATCTAAATGCAAATCCAAAATTGATATTGAAAATTTTTTCAACAAACATAAATGTTCAAGACTTCAAGTCCACAAGTCCATTATATAACTCTAACAGAGCATATTACAACTACATCAAAATACATAAATTGATCTAAAACTCAAACCCGTAATCATAGGATGATACCCACACAGCACTAATGTCCACTACTCTCACTCCAAAACTTACAACACAACACAATTTTAATTAGTACTAAGCTTAGTTGACAGTGTCAAACCTCAGCATACAAGTACGCAAATGTAAATAAATAAAAAAAAGTACGCACGAATGTAAGGTCAATATACAGAATTCTTAATTAAAATATGTATAGTTCAAATTTTATATTTCAGTGTAAATCATATACAGAAATAATAGAATAAGGCATTCATGCAACATGAAATATGTTTTCAAGATATATAAGCACCAATAATTATAACAATGGAAAGTTTAAAGCATGAACAATTAATAAGTCATGCCAACATTATTACAACATAGTGTTGACTGTATTAAAAAAATTAGAACAAAAAAAATAAATCAGAGCAACCGACATACCTCCAAGCCGGCCCCACCACGGGCAGTTGGTCGCCAAATGACGCATCTCTTCGGAGGCACCGACAATTCAAAGCGACAAAAGGGAGAAGGAGAGGACGAAAAAAGAAGTTACGCTTTTTTTTTTCTTCGGCTTCCTCGTCGCTGTTCAGCTTCATTTCTTCGCACGAGCGTCTAGGGTTCGTCGTTCATCTTCTCCTTCCATCGTTGCTGTTCGTGTTCGTTGATTCGCAAGAAGGCAGAGAGGGCACGGTCGCTCCTTCTCTTTAATAAACTCTAGTCCTGCAATTTCTGTTTGTAATTGTGTAAGTAGAATTTGCTTTCGGGTAAGGGCGTCCGCAACCCGATTCTCGGCGCCCTTAAAGTGTTATGCCATCCTTCCTGGGCTAGTGTGCTCCGCATTACTTCTACAACAAGATCCCTCCGTTGAACTTTATTGAATAATGATCATCCCTTTTTTTTATGGAACTCTACTGTGCAAGAAATCTCAAGCCTTCCACTTACCGATATCTCTTCACAACTGAGTTGCAATCAAATTATTTTTCAACAAATAAGCTCACTCCATGAGTCGCCAAGTCCAAAATCCTAAGTAGAATCAAAGGATAACAAAAAGAATCATTGGGCCCTTCGAAAATTATAGCATCTCTATACCTCCACTAATAAAAATTATGGGGAATATCAAGCAAGTGCAAAAATTTTAGCTTAATACTATGTTAAGTTCTATGTACCTTAGACCAACTAGCTTAACACATCTAGCATTTAGAACTACATATACTCTAGAACAAACCAATCGCAAAAATGCTTCCACAAACTCATTCCAACTCATGAATAATTAGCTATATCCATAAAATGAGTCTTATGTTGTATTGTCCGTAAATTTTCCACCATGTAGCACAAAAGATGAAAGACACCTTCCTCCTCTCAGCAAGCCATTCCATAAAAAATTGTTTCAATCTTACATAGCCAATCCTCAACAATGAGAGTTTTATGGTGGGTGGATGCACGTGTTGAAAAAGCTTCAAGGTATAATCAACAATAAAAGTTGCAAAGGCATTGGAGTAGGAGTCATTTGAAGAGTCCTTCCAAAGGTCTAACAATCACCCTCAACTGAGTTATAGCAATAAACATAGGCAACATGGTCTCTATACACACCAATCCAAGATGTGGCACTCCATTTTGAGATGGAGTGTCAACAATAGATAACAATACAAGAATAACACATGGTGTAGAAAGCACTAATCTAGATACTGCATTTTGATGTTGATAGGATTAGGTGAAACATTAATGAAAAACAAGGGAATGTCACATCTCATCCATTCTAAGCTCTTCAACTCCCTTCTCACCATATATTTCAAATTACGAGATATGATTCTTAAATAATATAAGAAAAGAATAAAAGAATCATTCATTCCATACTCTCCTAAGTAGCCTTAGGTAGCCTGCATTGCTCTCTTTCTCTCCGTTAACATCTTAACCTGCACCTATATTTGGCATGCCCTATCTTATCAATCTAATGCTATGGTACCACTCTGTCACTTTTATCCAGCTAGCATTGATAATTTCAATAACCTAACAAAATGGGGTAATTTTTCAAACGGACAAATGCAATCACATGTTCAACCATATAATTTAAAAAACCAGCAAATTCACATTATAATGCCACCAAATCCAAAACTTAATATCTAAATGCAAAGCCAAAAATGCTATTTAAAATTTTTTCAACAAACATAAATGTTCAAGACTTCAAGTGCACATGTCCGTTATAAAACTCTAACAGAGCATATTACAACTACATCAAAATACCTAAATTGATCTAAAACCCTAAACACGTAATCATAGTATGATACCCACACAGCACTAATATCCACTACTCTCACTCCAAAACTTACTACACAACACAATTTTAATTAGTACTAAGCTCAGTTGATAGTGTCAAACCTCAAAATTCATTTGTACCAAAAAATAAAATCGGATATCATAAAGACCGCGGCTCCAGCAATTGCCCAGAATAAAGCGAAGGACTTAACGAGGAAGACACAGGAGGGAAGGAAAGAGCATCGAACCTCTGTCAATCGAAGTCCTCACCACACCCTCCACCACCAGAAACCGATGATCTCCTCATCTTCGACGGCGCCGGTCTCATGCAAACGGACTTTGGGAAGAAACCAAAATAACTTGCGGTTGTTTGGCAAAAACTGTTTGGTATCGGATTTGTAGCACGATTTATGCCGGATTTACGGTAAATCCTGCCAAACAGTTTTCGAGTGCGCAGTAAATCCGAATCCTTCGTAAATCCCGGATTTAAGGATTTACCGGGATTTCGTAAATCCCGACGTTCGGCGTATTTATGGATTTATGGCCTACGGAATTTACGGATTTAGCGGAAGAAGCGCGCCAAAGGGGAGAAATATCGTTACCTTCGCGGCGAACTCCGATCTGATAGTAACAACGTCTTTGGCGGAGGTGGAGAAGCTTCGATACTTGCAGAACTCAACTTCAAGCGAAGCAGAACAGCAACGAAGAAATGCAGAAGAGGAAACGCAAGCCAAGAAGCAGCGAAGCCGGAGATGAAGCTCCACCTCACGCGAAAACAATGAAGGACCAGGAAGAGGGAAAGCCTACCGCGTATAAATGATTAATTCTTTAAATTTTTAATTAGACAATAATTATATTAGTTTAATTAAAATGATTAAAGATCGGAATAATTAATTAGGTCATTAGCAGTATAAAAATTAATTAAATAATTAATTAGTAAAATAATAATTAATTAATTAGATACCTATAACTATAATTAGTAATTAAATTTTTATTACAAAAAATAAATTAATGAAGTAGTAAGTATTGTAAATAGTAATCAAATGAGTCGTTATAATTAAATAATGATTGTTATAAATTATAATTAGTATTGAGATATTTCTTAAAATAATGCCTAAATATATTATTGGATAATTAAACTAGCTTCTAAGTATCTCATAGCTAACATGCAAAAAAAAAATTAATTTTTAAATGAACAAACCTCCTTAAATCCTGAATTACATTGTCAAACAGTTTTTTAAGATTTCTCAGGATTTAACATATGTCATACCAAACAATTTTCAATATATAACACCCTCATGATTTATTAAATTGAAATTTATTGGATTTACTAAATTCCACTAAAGTTAAATCCAATACCAAACGGTTCCTAAGATTTAGATGAGAAAGGTAGAGTTAGAATTTAAAAGACTTGGTTATAAAATATTAGAAATGATTTTTCTTTATTAGATTTAGATGAGAATTTTATTCTTAACAAGTCACAATGGAAAAAAAAGGATTCATGTAGCCAATCTCACATAGTGGGATAAAGGCTCATTGTTATTGTTGTTGTTGTTGACGACGAGTTATGGGCTGTTGGGATTTAGGATTTAACTCAATAACTTATGGAAATTCATATTTATTAAATTCTAAAAGGTGTTAAATTTTAGAAGTTATTTGATAAAATGTATATTTTCTGTGGACTAGAACATTCATGGCCATAGAGAGACATAGGGTTTAGCGTCCAAGCTTTGTATGAAAGATCCAGCACACATACATATAAGAGAGAGGGGTGCAATATTCATAAGAGACATCAGAATGTGGTGTACATGATTTTCTTTTAGTTTATTCCACTTGATTGATTTATATTGAAAGGATTTATAGAGGCTCTAGTGAATTAATTAAAGGATAAAATAGATAATTCTTCAACTTTAGGTCTTGGGGCATGAATCCTACGTATCCATATCCACTATAAATATTTAAAAGTAATTAATTAAAGAAAAACTTAAAGACTTGTAAAATAATTAATGTATAAACAAAACCTGAAACTGACATGCCCTCCACTGCTCCAAAACAAACTTGACCTGATTAAACAAACATGTCAGAAATCTAAACCAGTACCCAACTCGATCCAAATTCGAGTCAATGCGACTTGACATGCTGACCAAGATGATTTTGTAGGAAATATACATTTTATCATAATTATTTTATAAGCAATAATTATCTATTTTAATATAAATTCAATAAAATAGCTCCACCTCCAGCATCATAGTATAGAATTAATTTGAAAAAAAAAAAGAGAGAGCTCAATGCCGCTTGCCCCGGTGCTGCTTCACCCCGAGGGGAAAAAATTTCATATTTTCAAATCATGCGCAACCCCTCGCGCACGCGCACACACACACACATACATAGCACTCACATACACATATGAAAGACATTAATGCAAAAAAATTCAATGGGTTACTCTTACTAGGTTGGGTTAGAATAAGTGCAACTGTGCACGAATTTAGTATGTGTTATAGTTTTCTTACCCTTACTTCAATGAAAGCGTGGGATCAATTTGCTCAAAACCCTAAACCCTAAATGATGCCCTATCTCATATGAGTCAAAATTTAAATGATGCCCTATCTCATAACTAGAGAAAAATTATTATTATAATAAAAATATACATTTGTTATGGAATATGTCTCCTATGGTAGTACTAGGATGAGCTTTTAAGTGAAGTTGTCATAGGCGATGCATCAAACATTTGGCATTCGAGTAACATTAAGCGATCAACTATTATTTTCCTATTAAGATGAATGATTAAGTGACCAGGAAGTGGGCATCAAATGTTGGTGGCAATAGAAATGCATAAATATAAATAAGCTAACTTTTTTGTTTTGGAACATCATGGGTTTGATTTTCAAGCAAAAATGGTTTGCACTTGATTGTATAATAATTGAAAGAGGCCACTGATGAAGTCTAACTATGGTGTAAATGTTTCATTCTTTTGTTATGTAAATTCTCTCATTCTTGACATAGTGTCGCACCTCATCAAAAAAACTGATTTTTTTTTTTAATTAAGTAGTTTAAAATTTTGATTCATAATCATCCCGAAGTATTAAGCATATTGGAAATTAAGGCTTGGTTCGGGGTAAATTTTTATTGTTTTCTAAAATAATTTTTTAGTTAAAAATTTTCAAGTTAAAAGAAAAATTATACTAGAAAATTGCTTTATAAAACAGTAAGAAAATAGCCCCAAACAAAGTCTAAATTGTGTTACTAACCACCTATGGGCATTTAAAAAAAACTCATTTCCATGCATCTCCAAGGAAAACTTAAAAAGTCTAGTACCATTAAAGATCAAATTTCAAAAGGAACTCAGCCTAAAAGGAAGGTTGCCATCATATTTTATTATTAATGGTGCTAAAGTGAAATTTAGAAGATGTTTCTCATAGTTAGTTCATAGGTTGGAATTTGGAAGCCTCAAGAAAAGTTGCCCATGAAATAATGTTTAATTTAATATTTTGATGGCATGAGTTGCCAATACTGTTTGACATCTAAATTGACATTGATGAGTGATTCTAATTGTTCAAGGCTGCATAGAGTTTTATAAGGCCAATGTTAATGGCTTCCCATATACAATGCTGACATTTGGAAATCTTAAAAAAATGCTTATCACGCAATGCTTAGGCTTCGTTTGGGACGGATTTCTTTCTGCTTCTTAAAGTAGATTTTTAATACAAAAATTAAAATTTTATACTAAAAAACTGTATTAAGAAACAATAAGAAAGATGTCCCAAACAAAACCTTGATCTAATAATTCTTTTCAATATGATTGATGAGTGCTTATGTACATCATAGATTTTGTTAGACCAATGCTAAGAGCTTACCAAATGCATGCCCTCCTTTGCAACAAGTGCATCTATAGTTTATTCAACATATTGCTCAATATTAATAATTCTTGTATGACTCTTTTTTTATATATAAATAATTAAGGAGTCTCACATATGCTCGAATGTCTTTATGCTCATTTTCTTGTCTTTTTATCATTTAGTCTTCATTTGTGTGCTTCGAAGCTCTCTCGTTATAAACTATTTTGTTTATGTTTATTACATTTTCTTTGGAGCTTTTATTTATATTACTATTTTGATTATTTGACAACACATGTCGGTTTTGCAGTATTAAAGATCAGATTGGGATAGTTTTAAGATAGCAATTATAATTTTATTTGTCAATTACTTTTTTTTTCTTCATATTTTTTATAAAACTTTTATGTACAAAATTACTTCTATAATTTGAGTAGTTAAGTAATTCTCTTCATAACAACCTCACAATCAGCTTAATAAAAAATTACAGCAGTCTCATACAAATCCTAATTTTTATAAGTGGGATGGGATCAATAATGGTGAGAGAATGATGATGGAGAGTGTGATGAGGGTCTCATTATGATGTTATTTAAAATTTAAGATTATTTGAGTAAATATTAAATTTTAGATGTTTAGGATATAAAAATAATAATTTTGAGGGTTATTTATGTAAACTTCCCGTTAATTTTAGAGTCTATGAAATACTATGAGGAGGCCAACAGGCTTATTATCTGCTTTATCCGTTTTGAAGAAGGGTTAGTGCGGGGAAAGGCGAAGATGTCCGCCGGAGGCAACCTCAAGGGAGTGGTTCTTATTGCTAGCGGTGACTCTGGCAACAACGTCGTTGGAGGATCTCTCAACTTCTTTGAGGACCAATCCACCGGATTCACCCACGTGAGTGGTAAGATAACTGGCCTCTCGCCCGGTCTCCATGGCTTACATATCCACTCCTTCGGTGACACCACCAATGGCTGCAACTCAACAGGTACGATAAAAGACCCTCCTTTCCGAGCTTTGATAGTTCGATATGACGATGGTTGGTTTTGGACGATCGCTCCGCTTTCGCAGAGAAGAATTTTTTTTTTTTTCAGTGCAAATGGAGAAAATCTATTCGTCTGGTTTTTAGATTTTTGAATTTGAATAGCTGATTTGAGATTTGATCTTCAGATCTGAACTTTCTACTTTCCGTTATGTTAGTGATGCTGGTTAGCGACCCTTTTGTCTCCTGGTCATGAAACCTTCCTCTCTTTGAAGATCCCTTGAGCATTGAGGAATGCTTACCAGCGTGTACGTGTCACCATTTCAGTGTAGAATGTAGATCCTACTGGAAGAACCTTCTGTTGGAGTAAGACCTCCTAGAAATTGAGCACAAAAATAAAATAAAACAAATCTAGAAAGATATTATTTCACTATAGAGTAGTATCTGAAAATTTTCAAATGCAGAATGTGTTACTAATCATCATCTTTATCCTCATCCCAGCTCTTTGCGGGTTCTAAAAGAATATTAATCAGTTTAAAATAAATGATTGGTGGTTTGTAGAATTTTGTTGCCCTCTAAATTCAACTTAGAATTCATATTTCATATAAATATTTAAATTGAACTAAAACGTGATGAATTTTGTTATTTGAATATTTCTATTTTCTTTATTTGATTTGAGATTTCTTCTTTTTATTTCATATTTTCTTTTGAATTTTTTATATCTATTTTTTTAATTGACTTTCCATCGTTCTATATACGAATATGCCAAAAGAACAGGGAAAATTAGTTTGTCATCATTAGTACTAGCACTCGTTCCCTTTTCAATGACACATTCACCTTCATTTAGAAAATACATAGTTTCCAAAGATGGCTCATCTAAAGAGAGATTAGCAACTTAAGTATTCTAATATCATCTATTGTTGTTACTGTATCCCCACCAATATCCCACAATTTAGTATCTCCTTGAGTATATTTTGGGTTCCTTCTAGATAAAAGTTGAAGATTTGTATATACAAATACTAAATCTTCATTCCATTGAGGAGTGATCTTGTTCTTCTTAAGTAAATTGATAAAAAAAGTAAGTACTCTATTTTTTTTTTTGCAACATGAAGGGGAACATGGTTAAGCTAGCCATTTAAAAGTTAAACTTTGCAATCATGGGGAAGTGCCCCCATGATAACTTCTTTAATTTTTATTGCAATATAGAATTTATCTTTACACACTTTTCACAGTTAATGGCCTTCATGGACATTGGCATATATTTTCTAATTGATGCGAAATTAATCAGAGGTCTTCTTTGAAGATTTGTATAACCATCACAAGCAAATGAGCAATAGTAAGTTCCTTCTCATTCCAAGTTTCTTTGATTGGCTCAAGCATCATTTCAACCTGTGCTCTTTTCTTTTGAAGCAATGTTGTCTTCAAGAGCTTATAACCAAGAGGAATATATCCAGTGTGTGAGGTATTGGCTGAATATGATAAAGTATTAAATAGTAGGGGTTTCTTGCTAAATGAAATGGAAGTGCTGTGAAATGGAACATACGAGAAATTGTTATATGCAAATAATATCTAGCTTGCACATTGCACATTAAAGGCCCTTTAAATAGCATTAGAAACTAATAATTGCCTTCTTTTGTTGAGTCATAGGCTCATAGCCTTCGACCCGAAATAAATATCTACTTGATTGTGAGCTACGATATTGGTTTTAGCCATTTTGTTCAACAAAAGGAAGGGGAACCTTCTTAAAGGAGGCATTTTTTTTCACAGCTACACCATCTAGCTTTTGCACTTCCTGCAATTGTGTGGATGTTATTTTAGAGCATAATTGAAATGCATGCCCAGGTTATCTAAGAGAGTGAGTTCTCACCCTATAATATATTCACTTGAACTTACCTTTACCAACAAGTCATTGAAACTATCAATTACCTTGCTCGAATTGCTCCTACTTTATTCAGTTTGGTAGCACACACCCATAAAGATTTTGTCTCATCATTTGTGGGATTATTACTAATAGTATTCATCTTGTAAATCATTATCCTATTAACCAATAAATAAATTTTAAGAATATGTAGAGTAAAATTTCAAGAATCAAGTTTAAGAATCTTAGTTAGTGTGTTCCTTAGAATTCATTATACCTTTTTCTAGTTTGTATCACTAATTGATTATAATTAACTCTATAGCAATCATCCTATCATTAATCCAATTCACTCTAATATAATTTTATCTTTCAACTTTATATCCATTACTGTCCTACTCTCATTTTATTGTTAGCATTTTAACATAAAATAGCTTATACTTTTGACCAATACCCTTGAGTTTTTTCTCTCCATTTTATTATTTTAAACAAGCAATATATTTTCTTTTTCTAATCATTGTGTCAACCAATTCGAGTGTCTTCTCATGCGAACTCTCCTAATTCCCTATTGCAAATTAAAATTTGATTTAAGACTGGCAACCTTTACTCATTTTTCATCTAAGTTAGATAATCTTAGTTGTATACTTTGGCAACCTTTGCTCATTTTTCATCTCAATTGGATTAAGTCATGGTGTGTCACTTGCCGGTGACATCCTAGCTAACTTTGCCTATTTTTTTACAACAATTTGGTTGAGTTGAAACAACTCATCTTGGTCTGTTGGTTGAGAGCTTAGACTACCAACTAAGAGGTTTTGGATTCGAGGCTTGCGTATACAATATGTGTGTGAGTCTTCCTTAATTGGCCCAAATATCCAAAAAAAAAAAACGTTGAGTTGTGGCGCATCAATTATGAGTGAGGTTCTAGTAAAATCTTACTTTTTTATGATAATCAGGTTAGATCATGATGTGTCATCACCGCAGAACTCCCAAGTATTAACAAAATTCAAATTTGGACTCATCTCATGAATTTTCTCATGAGGTTTCTATTGACTATCGATCAAGAATGAATTCCAAACCTTGCTTACCTGTGCTTGGTTGATAGTTATTTTTTTAATAAAGAAACATCACAAATTTCATGAGAAATATCACAACGTTCATGATGGATAAATTTCTTATTTGAAGAAATTTCATAACTTTCTAGATAACTGCTGTAACGTGTCTCCCATAGTTCTTTCTGATGAGCTCTGATGCATACCTGTAATCATTTTTCTCGAAGTTACAATCTTATTAAGGCCATACTTCTGCTCTCTGGATTACACCATGAATGCTCTTATGTTTTTTTGTTTCCTTTTTATTGGCAGGTCCCCATTTTAATCCATTTAAGAAGCTTCATGGAGCTCCAAATGATGTGGAACGGCATGCAGGTGACTTGGGAAATGTTTCAGCTGATGAACATGGTTTGCCTGCAACTTTTTCCTTGATATTTTACCCCATTTGTAATGTGGAATCCTTGGACTTCTTACTTACCTCAATCTGCTTGTCGACAGGGGTTGCTAATGTATCATTGAAGGATTTGCAGGTTTTCAAATCATTTTATTGTTATCTTCATTGTATCATATCCATTTATAGAACTTATAATGTTTTCTCCCACTTTTTGGAAGATTCCACTAAGTGGACCAAATTCCATACTGGGGAGGGCTCTGGTTGTTCATGCTGATCCTGATGATCTAGGAAGGGGTATGGTTACTTTTCATTTTATTATTAAGTGGTTTTTATTTATTTTAATTATATGATATACTTTCTGTTACATTTATAGTTCTCTCAAAGTTTTGAGTCGCCCAGTAAGAATCCCCTGTTTTCATGTTTTCCTATCAGTTCTATATATCCTGTTACAAAAGATGTAAAAATAAACTAGAAAACATAAGCCTCATGCCTATAAAGATAATTTCTTTTGGAATTCTTTTAATCTCACGCTTGATCAATAATCAAAATCCCATAATAGATGAAGAAGAAGAGTTTCTACATTCTCAAGGAAAATTTGGGGGATTTACATACGATTGATATAATTCTTATATATATAAACGTTTTATTAATCTTTACCATCAGATCTTGGCTGTTTTGAACACTTAGCTCAAGTTTTATGTAAATGTTTGTATATTTAGGTCACTTAAGTCAAATTCACACATCACATACGTAAGACTCAAATCAAAGACTTTTTAGTTGGTAGTCAAAAGTTCCCAAACAACATACAAAGATAAGCTGAATGAATATTCTCACCTTTTGATGTAATGGCTTTTGCAATAATTACCCTGACATATAGCACGCAATTACTGTGATGTAGGCATGTGGTTGTAATACGAGAGATTATTACGTGTGGAGATTGAAAACAGAGAACCGTTTGGTTTTGTCTCAGTGAACAGTAAAAGCGCAGTGATGAACAATAAAAGCGCAGATTACTGTTCACAGAGACAAAACTTGATAGTTCTCCACGTCGGATCTCTGTAATAATCTCTCCTGTTATACAGCCAAAAAAAACTCGCATAGTGAGAATATGCTCCTTAGCAAAACGCTAAAACCTGTCTTGCTTCCCTCGATTTCTGTAATAAAATATTCGTTATTTTGATCATCTTAACTGCGTTGACCACTTGACCTACAGGTGGTCATGAACTTAGCAAAAGCACAGGGAACGCAGGGGCTCGAATTGGCTGTGGTAATTTCTCTTTGCTTTCTTTATACAATGATGTGTTTGCTTGTTTAGTTACTGCATCAACACGCTTCCTTTTTTGCGAACTTTTATTACATCCGGTGAACGTGCGCTCCTCTACGTTCGGTTTTAGACCAAAACAGCGCAATACCGAGTTTTTTTAAAAAACTCGGTACAACTCGGTACTCGGTATTGCGCTGTTTTGGTCTAAAACCGAACGTAGAGGAGCGTACGTTCACAGGATAAAATAAAAGTTCATTTTTTGCAGGTATAATTGGCCTTCAGTCAGCGGTTTAATCAACCTTGTAAATTAAATATCAATACATATGATATACTGTTCTTAAGGTGCCAGTAAATGGTACTTAGCCTTCATCTTATGTCTTAAAGAATTGATTGAAAAAGCAGCTTCAAATCAGAAATTATTAATTTTTTTTACTAATCTAAGCTGTATATATCTACAGAGAGAAGTTTGAAGTTTAGAATCAATTCTCTCTCTCTCTCTCTCATAAATCACCCTAGGGCTTCAAACGAACCGAGCCGAGCCGAGTATATGAGTGTTCATGTTTGTGTTCATTTATTATCAGTTTGTTCAAGTTTGGTTCATGTTTGATTTGAGCTTTATTGTTTTGTTCATTTAAATTAATGAGTGTTCATGTTTGATTCACATTCAGTTCATATTCAGTTCGTTTAGTGCTTATCGAGCTTTAAACAAACAAGCCTTAATGAACTATAAATGATCTCTACTTCTAGATGTTCATCAACTTAACAAATGAGCTTTATGGAGCCTCCGAACAAATAATTACATCGAGCATTTTTGTGAACATATTTAGTGATTTTTAAAAAATATCAATGAGCTCATTCACGAACCAATGATTTATGATTCATCTTATACTTGTTAATGAATATTTTAAACAAACAATCAAGCAAAAATGGACAAATCTGAAATATCTCTTGTACATGAATCAAGCACAAATTGAGCTTTTATCGAGTCTAATGTCAAGTTTGTTCATGAGCTTTAAATGATGTTGTTCACGAATATAAATGAGCTTAACCTCTTAGTGTTCAAGCTTGTTTATTTAAGGATAAAGTATTTAAAATTTTGTTCAAGTTTGTTTGTTTAGTTAATTAAACAATCGCAAACGAACTTTAATTGAATCAAGCAATGAGTAGCTTGTCGAACGCTTGGTTCGCTTGCAGCCCTAATTTATCACCCAAAAAAACATTTTTAAAGGATGGATGCTACATCATATACTTATAGCATGATGACTATACACATCAATATTAAATATTTTAGAGTTTTAAAATATTTCTTATATTTATTTAAGCAATCATTAAAGAGAAGCATAAAATCAATTTAAGTGTGCAGAGACGAGGATGCTCAGATGTATGAGTTGCTTTATACTGACATATATAATATATACGTAAAAAAATTGAAGTAGTTATAATGATAGATAAGACAAGAGAGTTAACTTGAATGGTTTGATTACGTAAAATATCAATCTTTTAATATTCTTGTTAAGAGAGTGGATGTATTAGATGCGATCTATGCTAAGAAAGATGAAGATAGACTTGACCAATTTGAATTATTATTATTCAAAATCTTCTCAGCCAGCATTGGCAGCTCCAAATCACAAGTTGAATTTGGTTGCAGGCTATTTTGTATAGCTTCTTGATCCCCTTAATGCCAGATTGAGACTATGATGTTCTACTTGTGTTCATTACTGCTGCATATTGCAATCATTTACCTTCCAGCCTTCCACTACTTTTACTTTTTATAACACAAAACTTCTTATCCATGGCTCTGTGAGAAAAGTTAATATGGGAATAAATGTGCTCACATAAAAAAGAAGAAGAAAATAATGGTCAGCTATATTATGAGTATGTAAGAAATAGTTATCAATAACAATTGACAACTTTGCATGTCTTAGAAATTGCAGTAAAATTGTTGGATTCGAATCTCAAATGCAGAGGAAGAACTCTTTATCTCTCCCTCTTTTTTTCTCTCCTTTTAAACATGTGGACAGAGGATCTTCATATTTCTAGAAGAAATTTCAAATAATCCCACCATTAAAGAAATGCCCCTCTGCTCAAGCTTAGTGAAGGGCAAGCTATTATGCTACAGACTGAAATGCTGCTGCAACTGAGATTGATAGCTTTTCCTTGAATTTCATAAGCTTCAGCGCCATCTATATCCACCGCCACTGGCAACCTGTGAGGTGCATTTCAAAGAAAATTACATTAAAAAATTGATCTAACAAGACAAAATCAGAGATTTTTATCATCCAGGCCAAAATCAACAGCCAAATAGAGGATAAGGAATCACATTAGAAATCCAGAAAAAATTGATATGCAGATGAATATCCTAGTTGCAAAGCTGCTGGGGAATTGATGGCAAAAATTTTAGCAATAAAGAATACACAACCAACATGCTCAATCTGAAATAATTAAACATCACAGGTTCTCATTTCACTCTTCTTCTTCCTCTCTCTTGGATTCTAGTGTAGAAGCTCTCCAATGATAGGAGGTGGCGGCCGTAGGTCATCTCCTTCCTACTCCAATGTCAAAGGTAGAAGACAGCAACCTTCCAACAACTATTGGAAGGTGCTCGAATCTATCGACGGTGACTGTGCTCAGTCAACAGATTAATTATTCTATGCGGAAGTCGAACGCTGTCCGGAGATCAACCAGAATGCGTCACATCACCCCTTCGCTTGGTACCGTGGCTCGGTATTACTCGGTAGCACTCATGTGGCGCATTTTAGTTGGTCTCCGAACGACGCGCCCGGCCTCCGCAGAGAATAATTTCTCGAGTCCATGAGGTCTGGATCTTCATGGGCTAAAGCTTCTTGGCCCGATTCCGGATCGCTCGGCTACGTTTCAAACACACCCAGCATTCCTAACAGGGGCAAGGAGATGTTCAACTCTGTCAATGCCAATCGTCAGACGGACTCCTGCTTCCATTAATAGGAACGACGGTGGCTGTATTTCATCACAGAACATTGCTGATCAAGCCTCCCTCCCTCATTCGGCAAAGCCAATGTCATGAGACGCCGACATGGATTGTCTTGACCCTCATTATTTCTTGCAGAACGAGCTCACAAGAAAGTGCTCGCAATTGGGGGATTTCCACTTGATTACTGTTGGTCCCATTTGTTTTGTTTGTATTTTCAAAGTTCAGAGGCAAGAGATGTCGTTCCAAGAAGTGGACCATGGATAGTGGGGGGAGTATCCTTGATTTGGATAAGTGGTCTCCTTCCTTCTCACATATCTCTATGCAAGGCTTGTCTTCTCCAATTTAGGTCTGACTTCCACAGCTCCCTCTTATATACTGGACCCCTCCAACATTGCTCGAATGGCGGCGATGATTGCCGAACCTCTATGGATAGATGAACATACCACCTCATGGTGCCAAAGTTGCATGTTAGAGTTTGTGTTCTTATTGATTTGACACAAAAGCTGTCACCTGGATTCTAGATTAAGGGCCTCAATGACAGCTTTTTCAGAAGTTGGAATACGAAGGTCTCTCCCTGCTTCCAGGCAAGGCTAAGCAGTAACCTAACAAGAGTCAACACTTGTTACGCCACACTTCCGGCCACACTCCGACAGCACTCCCATGTGGAAGAGCACAACCAAGCTGCCCCTGCCACCCCATGGTAGCAGCTCTTCCCACCTGGTAGACCCTCCACCTCCTCACGTCAAGAGCAGCAGTGATGCAGAAGAGTACGGAACTTGGATGCTCGTCTCCAAAGGGCGGAATCCTAAGTAAAAAACTCAACATTTCAGTAATTTTTCTAGAGGCAATGAGAGGAGGGCTTCTAGCCCACAAACAGCAGTCTTCTCTGCTGAGAAAGTCTAACAAATGGAGGACTCTTCCAATAATATCTTGAATCTCTCAAAGCAGAGACGTAGGGTGTCACAATCAAATTTTGATAAAGAGTTGTTGCAATTGGAGCCTACTACAACTGCTTCAAGGAAGAGAAAGAAGACACCAAATGATATTATGGGCGGGGAAGTGGTCCCCTAAGGTGACCAATGTTGAGATCTTCTGTGGGTTGTAGTGAGTGCCACAATAGAACAAGACAGCTACAGGAGCACTGAAATACTAATAAGCCCTCGTGGCTGTTTCAACCCCCTTTTGGTATACCCCCCTCCCCTCTGGAGTGGTTTCTTGTTTATTTTGTTGGTGCTCACTTCACTAACATAATGGACCTCAAATTATTAGCTGAGGGGCTCTTTATTTCTTCCTTGTTTTCACGTTACGCTTTTGTTTGTACTCATGTATAGATAGTTACATATCGCATAGTTCTTCCCTCTTTTGTTTGTTTTTAATCTTGGGAAGGCATAGATAGATGTTTCCATACTAGCTTGTACTATATTTTATACTCTATAAAGATGCAACTTTCAAGGAATAATTAACTATCAAGAGATAGACTAGAGGAAACTTAAAAAGTCTACGAGAGAAATGCATCTATAACAATATATGTGATATACACATACACAAGATGAATGACCAGGGTGTGCACGTAGAATAAAATACAATGAGATGACGCCAGAATTCCCAACAGAGATAGAAGAAAGTAATGCAAGACTTCCAAATGCAACTAACATAATATGTTGTGTCAATTAATGCAAGGGAATTTGAGGATTCATTCACAAATCAAAAGCCATCAATTAAATGTCATAACTTGCTGCCTTTAAGATTTACATACATATCACTTAATACTATTCTATTTACATATTTAACACTTAAAACTTTAATATTACATAAATACCACCCATAGTTTATTTTCATATCAAATATGAGTGGTAGAAATGAAATATATGAGTGGTATGAAAGAAATATAAGTGGTATATTTGATATTAAAATAATATAGGGTGGTATGCATGTAATATTAAAATTTTAGGTGTTAGATATGTAAATAGGATGTTATAAAGGTATGTATGTAAATTTCCCTTAAAAAAATCAATACAAGTATTAAAACCCAAATTATATTAATGAATTATTATATTAATGAATTAATCAAAATAATCCAAAGACATCAGCAATAATTTGGAACAACATAAATTGAGCAATCATAATTTAATTTTAACAAATATAATTTGGTTATGTCAAATTTGAACAAAATCAAGAACACCAAAAAGCAATAAATGTCAGCAAAATAAGAACAGGAAACTAAAGTAAAAAAATTTATTAAAAAATAAAATAAAACTAACGCAGGTGCAAAGAGATGACCTCCCTCATATTTAGATAATCATACTTATATCGTATTCGAATGAATCACAATTGGAACTTACACATAAAATTGAAAACTAGAAATTAATTTTATTTATCCAAAATTATTCAACTACAAATCTCAGAACATCTATTTATAGGCTCCTTATCCCTTAGACTGGTAGATATGATAAGCATAGGATTAGCTCAATTCAAATTCAAAATTAATCTAAAATTACTCTTAAAAAATAATATATAATTTAGCTACGCAGGAATCAAGGAGAACTAACTGGAACCCTCTCCACGTCAAACAAACAAATAAAAAGATCAATCTAAAAACCATAGCCCAAGAGAAACTCTATATTCCACCGCCCAAAGGAGAAACCTAGCCTTCAAGCACACCTATCAATAGTTTTAAAGCCACCAGCCACCTTACTCAACAGTGAAAATTAATCTAAACTGAAGTTACTGAACCTAAGTGAAACCACGCCAGACCACATGAACTAATGTTAGGGAATAAAATATACCTCTCTCAAAAGCAACATCACTTGCATGCTTTAATTACAAAAATTATAAAATAAAATAAACCAACTAACAAAAAAACAAATAAACTGCGCTCGAATCATTGCTTAACAAAATACTTTTGCCAAGAATAAACACAGTTACACAGATGTCCGTCAAAAAGACTGAGAACACAACATGGCCAACACCTATCATTGTAAAAGAAGAGAAGTTAAGATACAAAGGAAGTCCAAGAGTACAGATGAAAAAGAGAGAAAAAAAAAAAAAAACTTAGAAGAGCAGAATGCATAGAAATTTCTTATGTTGAAGCTTCAAAATATTAGGGTAAAGCTTGGTGGTGGTGAAAGGGTTATCCACACATAGGCCCTGCTAATATAGGATAGGGAAAGGAGTTGGTCTAAATAATCTTACTCCTGCATTGCACAGAAATTGTTCGAGTGTTTCAATCCGTAATGATGATGCTTGGGGTGACTATGACAGTACTAAGATAAATTACATAGGTTGATGTAACTTATGAATTGGAATCATTTGTTTCAAGCAATCAAAAGTAGAAAAGATGCAAATAACATAGGCATGAAGAATGGATCTTTTCCAGAAAAGCAAGCAATTAATAAAAAAGGGAGTAAACGACACAGGAGGTTCTTAATAATGCTTGGTACAGTGAGGGGTTAATGCATGCAATCTTATCAACACATTGCAGATAAGTTATTCCTATTATTTGGATTTGTGACATCCAGGTCACAGTTAAGGAGTAAAGCAGACAATGCTCTCCCACTGACAAACTTTATAATAGTCAATGAGTATCTGAAATTGGACAGCCATCACTAAATCAGACTTCATGCCTCTTACAAATGCATCAGCACTCTTTAACTGCTTAAAAGCTAATCATTATGGTTGGTTAATCTTCTCCATTATGGTGCCAAAATTGATGCATAAAATTAAAATCTATTCTCTAGAATCAATGTGCTATCCATCATTTCTTCAATATCTACCACATCAAATTATGCGCCTTTGAATCATAAAGAGGAAAATGTTAAAATAATACTTGAACTATTTATGGAAGGCCATTTTAGTCCTTGATTCCTCAAATATGATGCAATATAATCCAACAAAGGGATTATTTTGGATCAAATTTGGATAGACGAGAGATTAAATTGAACACATGTATAAATTAAACTAAAATGATCCACATAAATAGTCAATGAATCATTTTGATATTTTTCTTGAATCATAAATTTAGACTTCATCATGAAGACCATGTGTCTAGTGCAACATAGAAGCAAAAATCTCCGCCTCATTGCAATGACTCTAAAGGAACTATAATACATATCAAACATAATAAGTATTTGAATTTACACCTTTCCAATCACGGTTACAGGAAGTAATAATATTGTAAGGGAAAAGATAACCAAGTTCTTAACCGTTTCTATTATTATTCCAAGAAAGAAAAGGAACACCTACCTCTCCATCTCTAT